GTGATGGTTTTATGTAATCAAGATAAAAGTGTAAGTAACTCCTTGGGCACAACAGAATTTCTGGTTTGTGTTTTTTTTTAAACTTAGAACCTGCCAAGAACTTGGCGTTTTTTTACTTTTGTCTCTGTATGAAAACAATCACATTTATTTGAACACCTAATTTCATTTTAGAATTCTATTGGATAATTTTTTTCACTTAAAATTTATGTGAGAGATGAGAAATAAGCTAGTAAAGACTGATGGTGAATAAAATTATTAGACCATGCATTTGCAGTAGTCATGTTTGGCAGTAAAAAACACCAGTTTATAGTACTTAATGAGGACAGATATTCTTTACATCTTTTCCTCTAGTTACAAAACTTTCTTAATTTAATTAATATCTATCCTGCTTGTCAAACCTAAGTGAGATCCTATTTTTCTAATCACGTTAGACTATTAATTTAACTTAAAGCTACTTTTTAAAAACTAGGATTGGGGATCCCATTTGACCCAGCTATTTCCCTTCTGGGTATTTTCCCAGAAGAATTTAAGACATCGCACCACAGAGATATATGTACACCCATGTTTATAGCAGCACAGTTTATAATAGCCAGATCTTGGAAACAACCTAATGCCCATTGACAGAGGAATGGATAAAAAGATTTGATATTTCTATATAATGGAATAGTGTTTAGCCACTAAGAATGATAAACTGGACATTTTTATAGGTAAGCTGATATACCTTGAGAACATGCTTATTAGTGAAATAAATATGTCATGCATTGTATTGTTTCATTAGTATGATAAGGAAAAAGCATGAATTTTGTCCCAGAGAGAATGATTTCAGCCAGGCAGTGACTCTGTCCACACCTGTTTACTTTAACCCACTGTGAGCCATTTTGAGTTGTCTCTTGGATGTCTTAAGAAATGATGTGCTATAAGGTTTGGGTTTTTCGCATGTGGATATCCAGTTGTTCCAGTATATTTATTGAGGGTATAACCCTTTCTCCACTTAATTGCTTTTGCATCTTTGCCAGAAGTCAGTTGTCTGTTATGTGGGTATCTATTTTGGGACTTTATATTGGTACTTTGGTCCTATCTTGATATCAATGCCATTTTGTCATGATTGGTGTAACCTTGTGGTAAGTCTTGGGATTGGGGAGGTTTGGAGCTCTGATTTTGTGCCTTTGACAAAGTTGTTTAGATTATTCTGAGTCGTATTTTTACAGAAATGTAACAATCAAAATGTTAATCTTTATGAAAAATGTTGGCAGTTTGATAAGAGATTGTGTTCTCTGATATTTATTATTCTATTCATTTTTTGTTTTATTTTATTTTTAATTTCTTGAAAGATACAAGAATATTTCATAACGTTCTTTTCTTGTAAATGTACTTGGTGTTTTAAGAAAGCTATTTTTTTTTTTTTTTTGTCTTTTAAAATGTATCTGATTGTGCTTAAGTCTCTGTCACCACTTGAATTGTTCATTTGTTTTGTGTTCTCCTTTTGTTCTTATAGGTTGGTCATTTGAGCTTTAAAATGTACAACTCTGGTAAATTCCAAAACTCCAGTGGTGTGTTCTGTAGGAAATGGGCAGGCTTCTTGGCTATGTATTTCCTTTGGAGCTGTCTTCCGAAAATTTGGACTGCTTTGAGGACATTTGTGTATCAGAATTCAGCTTAGTTTCACTCTTTGAATCTTTATTGGCTAAAATTTTAGCCATCTGTGACTGCAGAGCTTCTGTTTCTATAGGTAGAATCTTGGCTACCTATAGAGTATATAGGGTGGGATATAGATTGAGATACGGTAAATGTGGAGCACTAGCAGTCAGCAGACCCATGTCTCCTCTTCTGCCTCTTGATTGATTTGACTTCTAGATGATTTATGAACTTTTGTTTAAAAACCAGACTAGTATCACTCCTAAATTGCTAAGTTTACCTATTTTCTTAATCCACTATCACCCAGAGTAGAATATCCTGAAAATAGACCCTATTCTAATATTCTTTCGTAGGGCATCAGATATCAGAAGAAGAAAGTTTAGAGACTGTAGGGTTAGCTACAGTCAGTCTGGGGAAAGTGAGGGAGAGGAAAAGTGGGAATGTCTGTGAAACCTGCTGCCCTCAATTTTGACTCATTGCGTGATTGAATTATAACACATTCTATGTAATCCATATACCTTAAATATATGGCTTTTAAAATTTTATGTAAATATTTGTGTGTTATCCAAATAACAATGTAGACTACACAGCTTTGCCCAAGTTTTTCTTTAGGAATTGCTTTTTCCCCGTTCACTACTCTAATCAGAATTCAAGTACTAGCTCGGTATTGTATGTGTGAATATACATGTATGTTTGCATATTTTTATTTTTTGTTCTTCTGTGCTAAGATTTTTAATATCCCACAAGATAGGTATTGCTGATCGGTAGCCATAATTATCACATGACATAGTTACATACATCTGAGAGGAAACATTTCAGAATAATAGACAAGTTGAATAACAAGTCTATCAAGGTATAATTGATATGGAAGAAACGACACACATTTAGAGTGTCAGTGTTGAGCTCCCCCCATAGATACACCTGTGAAACTGTTTGCACTGTGAAGATAATAGTGAGCTTAAGGACTCTTTCCAAGTTCTTTTTTTTTGTCTTTTTCGTTTTTATGGGTACCAGGGATCGAACTCACGACTGCCTGCTTGCAAGGCAGGTGCTTATGCCGCTGAGCTAAATCCCCAGCCCCTCTTTCCAAGTTCTGTTAAAGCCATTTATAGTCTTTTTTTCTTTATCCCAGCTGCAAGCAACAACTCTTCTGTTTTCGATCACTCTATACCAGTTTGCATATTCCAAAAGTTTATGTAAACAGAATCATGTAGTATGTTCTCTTTTGATTTATGCCTTGTTCCAGCACAATTATTTTGAGATCACTGGTTGTGTACGTTGGTAGTTTGTTTTTTCCCTTCCTCTGCTGCATAATATTCTACTGTGTGGGGAGGCATGTGACAGCCTATTTATCCATTCACTGATATGTTGGAGTATAGGTGATTTCCTCTAATATAAAGTCAGTGTGTGTATATGTATAGCAGAGGATCCCTGCCCCCAAGCCAGTATACTTTAGTTTGTTAGTTGCCCAGGTAATAGTTCCAGTTCCTGTTACTTTTGTTTCTTACAAATACTCATCATTGTGATGCATAGCTAGCTGGTCACTATGATGCAAATTATATAAACCAATCCTCAGCTGACAAGCCAGTCTGCCTCTGGACTTCTGCTTGCTTGTCCCATATAAGTCCTAGACCACCAGAGATGGGGCCTGATGTTTTGGGAATGATCCCAGTCAGTGCCTCTCAGTGTAAATAAATCTGCCTCCAAATCCTGGGTGTTGTTTCAGTGTTTCTGCTTGCTGTTGCACAAGTGTTTTCTTTTGTTTTGGGCAAGTGATTGGAAATAGAATGTCTGATAGGCAGGTGTATATTTACCTTTTTCAGAAACTGTTAATATGTGTTTTCTAAGCTGTACCATTCCCATCAGCAGCATATTAGCATTTTTATGTGCTTTTTATATTGTGTCTGCTTAAATATTTGTTAAATCTTTTCTGCATTTTAAAACTAGAGTTTCTTATAATTGTGAGAGTTGTTTACATATTCTAGCTACAAATCCTATTCAAATAAATGTGCAAATATTGTCTCTAGTTTGCAACTTGTATTTGTGTTTTACTCTTTTGAAGAGTAAAAGGTGTTTTAAAAATTTTAATCAAATCTGATTTTTTTCTTTTATAGTTTTTTTTGGTAACAGAACATTTCTGCAAATTCAAGGTCACTAAAATTTTCTCCTATGTTGATTTTTAGCTTCAGGATTTTTAGCTCTTACATTAAGTCCTGCCATTCATTTTAACTTACTTTCTGTAAGGATTGAGTTGTCACAATGTTGTTGTCTTTTTCCTCTTTCCTATATAGCTATCCATTTCTATCAGCATAGTTTATTGAAAAGATTATTTCCCCTGTTGAATTGTCTAGCATCTTTTCTCAAAATCAGTTGACCATGTATGTGGGAGTCTAGAGTCTCTCTTCATTTTATATGGCTGTTGTCTTTATGTTAGTTACACTTATCATTGGTTATTATGGCTGTAAGTCATTGGGACTGTGTATGTGTGTGTGCGTGTTGTATGTGTCTGAGAAAGGGTCTTGTTATGTAGTTCAGGCTGGCCTCAAACTCACAGTTACCTTCTTCCAACCTCACTTTCCTCAGGGCTAGAAATAAAGGCTTCCACCACTTGAAGCTATGACTTTAAGTTATAAAACCAGGCAGTTTTAAATCCTCCAGTTTTTTTTTTAAGGGGGTAAAATTAAACACAACACAACAGAACAAAATAGAACATAAGATAGGAATGTAAGAGATATAAATTTCAAAGCTGGGTGACCTGAGAGCTTCACTGTCTATCATATTGTCTCTTGTTTTCTTCCAAATAGTTGTTCATGTCTTTGTATACAGAGAATTCATACAAAGCAACACAGTATAAAACTGATCCAAACTAAATGAGAAAGGCATTTTAGGTCTTCAAAACCAGACAATAGGGAAGTCATAATGGTTGTCGTAAAGTCTTCCATTCTCTTCAAAATAGCTGTCCACACCTTCATGTATACTGAAGCTCAACAAAACAGAACAGGCAAGGGAGGATGGGTTGCTTGATTTCCCAGCGCTCAAGGTCCCAGCATGTCATGGGTCCCAGTAAACGTCAGTGGCTCCTGTCCTGGGCCGCTGGAGCCTGCCACACTCAGAGCTGCTCACCAGGGCAGGAGGGGTTGCTTGGTTTCCCAATGTTCCAAGTCCCAGCATGGCACGGGTCTCAGTAAACGCCAGTAGCTCCCATCCTGGGCCACCAGAGCCTGCCATGCTCACAGCCACTCACCATGGTGGGAGGGGTTGCTTGGTTTCCTGGCGCTCCAGGTCCCAGCATGGCATGGGTCCCAGTAAACGCTGGTGGCATCCCAGAGCCTGCCATGCTCACCAGGGGGGAAGAGGTTACTTCAAGCTGTTTCTTTCTAATGAATTGACCATTTCACTGCCCAGGTTCTGAAATGGCCATAGAAAGCAGACCATAGAAAGACATCTCTTTAGGCTCCTGCTTGAAACCAACAGCATCAGGAAGCTGCCAGCCTTAATTCAGGGCCAGTCTTTTTTCTTTTTTAAAATTGGTCTCACTGTTTTGGAGATCTTTTACATTTCCATATGTCATCCCATAAATTTTACCAAAAAGAAAAAAGAAAACTTTGCTGAGATTTTGATTGAAATCACATTGAATATCTTAATTAATCTAGGAAAATTTGGTGTCTTAACAGCATTGAGTCTTGGTTCAAAACATGGTATTTCTCTATTTTCTTAAGACTTTTTTAATTTTTACAATGTTTGATAGACTGTGTCCTTTGGTATTTTACATATTTGGATACTGTTGTAAGTGATTTTGATCTTTGGTTTCCAGTCATTCTTTCTAGTATTAAGAGATGCAATGGATTTTTATGTATTGTTCTTATACCCTGCCACTTTCTTGTTCTGTAGGATTTTTTTAGGTTTTAGAATTTTCTGTATTAAAAATGATATTGCCTATGTGCCAGAAACAGTCTGTCTTTTCCAGTCTACATTCTGATTTTTCTTCTTGCCTTTCATTTTCTCAATATGATATTGAATCGGAATAGTCGGAGATGATTTCCTTGTCAGTTTTCATGAAAAATGTTTTGTCTGTTACGGTTGTGATGTTAGCTAGCTTTTTAATTCTTGATTGCCAATATCTTTTATCATGAAAGGATGATAAATTTTGTCAAATGCTTTTTCTGCATTTTTTGAGATGACTGTGGGGTTTTTTAAAAAGTCTTTAAGATGAACTCCCTTTTTAAACAGATACTAACTCAGTATTGCATTCCTGGAGTAGTCCCTCTTGGTCATCATAAATTTATCCTTTTTATATACTTATGGATTGTATTGGTTGGAATTTTGTTAAGCTTTAACTTTATAGTAACAAAGATATTATATTGGCCTACAGTTTGTTTTTTGTTGTTTTTTAATGTCTGGCTGTTTGAGGAATCAGAATCATACTGGCCTCTAAAGTGAGTTGGGAGGGTTTTTTCATGTATTTTCTGGGGGAGTTTGTACAGAATTTTTTTCCCCTTAAATTATTTGAGAGTGTTGATCATTGAATAATATATCTTGGCCTTGAGTTTTATTTAAGGAGAATGAAGGGGTGTGTGTGTGTGTGTGTGTGTGTGTATGATGAACCCAGGGTCTCATACATGGTAGACAAGCACTCTTAAGCTGAGCTGCATCCAGGACTTTTTATGTAATGTATTTAATTTTTCTGAGACAAGATCTTGAAAAATTACCCAGGCTGGCCTTGGGGTTTTGATCCTTCTTACCTCAGCCTCCCAGGTAGCTGAGATACAGGAATATCCTGCAGTCCTGCTCTAAGATTTTGACTACAAAATAAATTGAGTCAGTTCATTTAGGACTATCCAAGTTAACCAGTTTTTCCTGAGTGACCTTGGACATTTTGAATCTTTGAAGGAATTTGTACATATCCTAGAGTGAATTACTGGCTATAATAATAGAAATGCTAATTATATTTGCTAATCAGCCTTCTAATACTTATAGAAAGTATAGTTGTATCTAGTCATGTTCCTAATACATGACTTTTCTCTTTTTAATAACTGAATAGTCTGGTTAGAGGTTTATCAGGATTTTTTTGTTTGTTTGTGTTTTATTTTTATGTCTTTCTGAGACAGGATCTCACTATGCAATTCAAGCTGGCCTTGAGCTCCCTTTGTAGCCCAGGCTGGTCCCAAACTTGCTACAACTCTCTTGCCTCAGCCTCTTGAGTACTAGGATTACAGGCATGTACCATTACGCCCTGCAATTAATTGTTTTTATCAGCTTTACTTCCTCTGATTTTTCTCTGTTTTATACTATTTCATTGTTTCTTTTTGTAATGGTGCTGGGGATCGGACCTAGAACCTCACACAGGCTAGGCAAGCTCTCCACCACTGCACCATTCTCCCAAATCCAGTTTATGGTTATTAGTTCGTGTCATTTTCCATGAGTTTAATCTGCTGTTCATGTTCTGATTTCTTAGTTTTTTTGTACTGGGAATCGAACTCACAACCTCTTACTTGCCAGGTAGGTGCCTTGTTACTGAGCTATATCCCCAGCCCTCTTAATTAGTTCTTTGGGCATATAGGAAAAAAATACAGGATATGGATGATTGTTTATCTAATATTTAGAATGTAATCTTACATGTTGTATATCCATGTAGATATAAATCATATACCTTGTAGTGTATGATTTGAAATTATACAATATAAATCCCCTGCCTAGTAGCTGAGTTGGCATAAGTGCATCTATCATTTTAACAGACACTTTGAAGATGAGTATTGCACCACTGTAGTTACAGGCCCATCAACAGCTTACTTCTTATCACTTTTAACCTGTAGTAACAGCAAGGCTACTAAGTACCTCTGGAAGCAGTATTTCCAGATTGGCATAATTGACTTTACAGTAGCTTGATACATGCCTTTTTAAAAGATTGGAGGTGTTTAAATATTGAATTTTTAAAATAATCTTACATAAATTTGTAAAATCTTTCTTTGTAATATTTTTAAACTTTGAAAAAATCCATAATGAAAACTGAGTAAAGCCGGGGGTTTAGTTCAGCGGTATAAGCACCTGCCTGGCAAGCGCAAGGTCCTGAGTTCAATTCCCAGTACCAAAAAAAAAAAAAAAAAAAAGAGTAAAAGCTGTCATACCTCTTTACTTATATTCACCTATTGTGGACAATGCCCATTTGCTTTATCATTTACTCTTCATTCTCCCCTCACAAAACACATACACTAATGAATGGGCTTCTGTACATGAGGTGGCTCTAACCTCTTCTCAAGCAGAGGTTATATTTTGCCCATTGTTATATGGTGTTTACACATTATAACCTCCTGGGCAGTTTAATCGGTTAGCAAAGCCTGTCTCAAAATTAAAACAAAACAAAATAAAAAATTTAAAAAAACTGGGGCTGTCTGTGAGTGTGAAGGCCCTGCATTCAATCTTCAGTACTGCCAGAAAGAACAAAAAAGCCATTGTCTTTTAGGGAAGATTTAAGGTCTGGAACACAAATCATGCTTTTTTTTTTCTTTTGTCATTGAGTTTTAAAATATTAAAAGGCTGAGGGTATAGCTCAATGGCAGTGCACTTGTCAGCTGTAAACAAGGTCCTGAGTTTGTTCACATAATATTGAGGTACAATTCTAATAATTTTATCTTTATAATTTTATCTTTTAAGTTAATGTAATTGAATGATTTTCTTCTGCCATATTTACAGAATTGTGCAACGTCACTGCCATGTACTTCCAAAGTATTTCATCACCCTCAGAAGAAACCCCATGCATGTTAGCAGCTGCACCTTCCTCCCCTCCCCCCCACACCCCACCAGACCCTGGCAACTGCTCGCCTACACTGGTGTATCAGGACATTTCCTAGGCCCAAAATGCTAAAATGTACAGTGCATGGCCTTTTGTATCTGGCTTCTTTCACTTAGCATTTTATTTTTCAACATTCGTCCATGTTGTCGGATGTATCTTCACCCTTGTTCTCCTTTTGCTGAAAATACTCCATCCTGTGGATTCCATATTTTGTTCTCATTCAAGTACTAACCAGGCCCAATCCTGCTTAGCTTTCAAGATTGAACGAGATTGGGCATGCACATTTGGTTAAACACTCATCATTCCATGGACATTTGGGCTGTTTTCACCTTGGAGCTATTATGAAAAATGCCATTAGGAACATTTGTGTATAAATTTTTGTGTACATGTGTTTTGAGTTCTCTTACATATATGTGAGTGGAATGCTGTTCACTTGGTAACCGTATTTACCTTTTTCAGCAACTGCCAGGCTTTTGTTCAAAAGTCACTGCCCTGTCTTATGTTCCACTAGCAGCTTAAGAGTTCCCAATGTACCCATGTCCTCACCAACACTTATTATTGTTTGTGGTTTTTATTATAGCCATGTGAAGTAGTATCTTGTCTGGGTTCTGATATACATTTCTCTGAGGCTTAATCCTAAGTGTCTTATGTATTTATTGGACATGTGTATCTTTGGAGAAATGTCTATTCAGATATGTATGTTTTAATTGGAACATTTGGGTTTTTTAATATATTGTGAGAGTTCTTTATATATTCCTCATCAGCTGTGTCATTTGCAAAAATTTTTACCTATACTGTAGGTTGTCTTTTCACTTTCTTTATAGTGTCCTTTGAAGCATGGATGGTTTTAATGTTGATGAGGTCTGATTTATCTATTTTTTTCTTTGCTTAGCTATTCTGGCTAAGAAACCATTGACTAACCAGTGGTTATAAAGATTTATGTTTATATTATCTTCTACAAGTTTTTGAAATCTTTGCTCTGTTTGGAGCTAGTTCTTGTGTAACTTGTGAGGTAGAGTCCAAGTTCATTCTTCTGCTTGCAGCTCTCTGATTATACCAAAAACATATTTTGAAGGGATTATTGTTTCCTCTTAAAATTATCTTGGCACTTATCAAAAATCAGTTGACCATAGCTGAGCCTGGTGGTGCTCCCCTGTAATCCCAGCAGTCGGAAGGCTGAGACAGGAGGATTATTGCACATTCGAGACCAGCCTGTGCTACAAAGTGAATTCAAGGCCAGCCTGAACTGCATGGAGGCTGAGGCAGGAGGATTATTGCAAATTCAAGAACAGCCTGGGCTACAAAACGAATTCAAGGCCAGCCTGAACTGCATGGCAAGACCCTGTCTCAAAAAGACTAAAGTCAATGGCCCATAAGTGTAAGAATTTATTTCCAGACTCTGAATTGTATTCAGTTTGATCTCTGCATCTCGTTGCTCTCTGTTTTTCCCCAGTTCTATATTATCTCAGTGTATTTTATAGTTAGGTTTTGAAATGGAGGTGTGCAAGTCCTCTGCTGTGTTATTCTTCAATGTTGTTTTAGCTGTACTTGAATTTTAGGATCAGTTTGCCAAAGAGCAGGGTGGGATTTTGACTGGATTGCATTTTGAAGATAAACTGGGGAGTACTGCCGTCTTGTTAAGTCTGAATAACAGATGTCTTTCTATGTATGCAGGTCTTTGATTTCTTTCAACGATGCTTTGTTGTTTAATGTATAGA